CCCGGGTCCGTGGGGATTCCGAGGGCAAAGCGGCCCGGGGGGAACGGGAGAAGCGCTGCGAAATCTCTCCTGGTGCTGCCATCGAGGGGTTCCGGCAGGAATCCGGGCGGGGAAGGCGGGCTGTACCCTCGGCGGGGATGGCACTGTCCCCGCGCCGGGATTCCCCAGGGCTCCCTGGCGATGGCACTGTCCCCATGGAGGCTCCTGCCCGCGCCGGGGCTCCCTGGCGATGACACTGTCCCCACGCCGGGACTCCCTGGCGATGGCACTGTCCCCATGCCGGGGCTCCCTGGCGATGGCACTATCCCCGTGCTGGCACTTCCTGGCGATGGCACTGTCCCCATGGCGGCTCCTGCCCGCGCCGGGGCTCCCTGGCGATGGCACTGTCCCCATGGCGGCTCCTGCCCTCCCTGGCGATGGCACTGTCCCCATAGCGGCTCCTGCCCTCCCTGGCACACTCCCAGCTCCGTTCCCGCTCCGACTCGGATCCGTTGGTTCCCGTCCCCGCCGCTATTCGGGGTGTCCCCAGCAGCGGGACCGGTCCGTCACACCCCGGGCCGGGAGGGAGCTGGGGAGTGACCGGTCCATCACACCGGGCGGGAGCTGGGGAATGACCGGTCCATCACACCGGGCAGGAGCTTGGGAGTGACCGGTCCATCACACCGGGCGGGAGCTGGGGAGTGACCGGCTGAGCCCCAGCACGGGTGGGAGCTGGGGAGTGACCGGCTGAGCCCCAGCACGGGTGGGAATTGGGAAATGACCGTTTCATCACACCCCGGCCCAGTGAGAACTGGAGAGTGACCGGTCCATCACACCCCAGGCCGGTGGGAGTTGGGAGGTGACCGGTCCCTCACACCCCTGAACAGGTGGGAGTTGGGGAGTGACCAGCTGAGCCCCAGCACGGGTGGGAGTTGGGGAGTGACCGGTCCCTCACACCCCGGACCAGTGGGAGCTGGGGAGTGACCGGCTGAGCCCCAGAACGGGGAGGAGATGGGGAGTGACCGGTCCCTCACCCCCTGGACCAGTGGGAGCTGGGGAGTGACCAGCTGAGCCCCAGAACAGGCAGGAGTTGGGGAGTGACCGGCTGAGCCCCAGAACGGGTGGGAGTTGGGAAATGACCGTTTCATCACACCCCGGCCTGGTGAGAACTGGAGAGTGACCGGTCCATCACACCCCAGACCAGGTGGGAGCTGGAGAGTGACCAGCTGAGCCCCTGAACAGGCAGGAACTGGGGAGTGACCGGTCCCTCACGCCCCGGAATGGGTGGGAGTTGGGGAGTGACCAGTCCCTCACACCCCTGGCCAGTGGCACTTGGGGAGTGACCGGTCTGCTACAACCTGGAACGGGCGGGAGCTGGGCAGTGACCGGTCCCTCACGCCCCAGGCCAGTGGGAGCTGGGGATTGACCAGTTGAGCCCCAGACCAGGTGGGAATTGGGGAGTGACCAGTCCCTCACACCCCTGGGCCAGTAGGAGTTGAGGACTGACCGGTCCCTCACGCCCCGGCACGGGCTGGCCCAGCAATCCCCGGTCAATAGAAATGTTTCCGGCTCTGYTCCTGCCATTTGTTGTAGATGATGATGCCGATGACGATGGCGAAGACGATGGCGACCAGYGAGAAGAAGACGATGAGGAACAGGGCCAGGCCGCTCATGGGCTCCAG